CGGGACCGGCCGCAGCGAGCCGCGCCGAACCGAGCCGAGCCGAGGCTTGTTCACCGCCGGTAAGTGGCGGCGGCCGCCGCTGCCGCGTGGCGCAACCGGTTCGGCGCTTGCATCAGCCGCACGTGGCCGCTCCGCGCGGCTCCGCGGCGGCTCCCGTCGGAGGCAAGCCTCGGCGGGACGCGGCGCTTCCGCCTCGCCCGGCGCGCGCGGGGCCGCCGCGGCAGCGCGGGGGGCGGCGGGTGCGGAGCAGCCCCAGGCTCGGGCCAGCCGGGGTTCCGGGGTCCTCTGGGCAGCCCGATGTCCCGCTCCTGCGGCCCGCGAGCCTCGCCTGGGGACCGGAGCCGCGCACGGAGCTTGGCCCGGCGGGGACACCGGGGGCCACTTGTTGCTTCCCTAAAAACTGGCAGCATCCTGGCCCGAGCTGGGGGGCTCCTGGCGCTTCTGCTGCCAAGGGCAGTGGGCCCGTTCCGATGGAGACGGAGCCCTTGGATACGAGGCACCTTCCTGGCTATGGGGAAGCGACCGAGCCAATGGCTACCAAAGCACCCCCTGCATCCCCCTGCTCCGGGTGTGAGCTGCCGTGGGTATTTTCACACCAATGCGCACAACGCGACAGGCGACAGGTTGTCAGTGCTGCTACAGGCACCTGCCTGAGACCCGTTGCCTTTCCCAGGTGGAAAGGGGCAATAGCTGTCAGGAAGAACGTGCAGGGCTGGCTGATGCCGAGCAGCTCCATGGCGATGCAGCCGCGGTGCTGGGAGCAGAGGGCTCACCGGGTCCGGGTGACTCAGCCCTGCTGCCGGCTCCTGGCGAGTGCAGGAACGCACTGCTGGCCGCCGTGCCCGCCCACGTGCCAGGCCGCGGGATGCGCCGGAGCTCACAACTGGAGTGGGACTCACCGGGGCGCGGGGAGGTGCTCGGAGGCAGCGGGCGAGCGCAGGATGTGTCCAAGGGGCTGGACCACACAGGCTGCTTGTGCAACCAGCCCCTTTTCTGCGACACCATCGCCGTGTCCATCCCCTCCTCGTGCTCCTGGCACCTGGGACTGATTTGGTGGCTGCAGTGAGACCTGGGTGGGTGGGGGACCGTGCAGCGCCCAGGTGGGATGGAGCCGTCCAAGCAGCTCTGCCCTGCTGGGTGTCCTTGGCTTGGTGCTACCGGTGCAGCTGAGAGCAGCTCCTCCAGGCTGGCGCTGGTGTCACCGCTGGTGTCCCAGGCACTGCTGCCTGAGGTCTGCGCTCAGTGCCACATTTCATGCTCTTACGGTCCCTTCTCCTCTAGGGCTTTTGAGCAGCTGGGCACCACCTGCACGAGGCCAAGATGTTTGGGGGAAAAATGAGCAGCGTTGGGAGGAAGCTGATCCGCCGGCGCGTGGTGGATCTGAGCTCCGAGGAGACGCGTTTCGCCCGCTGCCTCTCCACGCTGGACCTCATCGCACTGGGAGTGGGCAGCACGCTGGGCGCCGGCGTCTACGTGCTGGCCGGGGAGGTGGCCAAGGACATGGCTGGCCCCTCCATCGTCCTCTGCTTCCTGGTGGCCGCGCTCTCCTCCGTGCTGGCCGGGCTCTGCTATGCCGAGTTCGGGGCGCGGGTCCCCAAGACGGGCTCTGCGTACCTCTACAGCTACGTGACCGTGGGCGAGATCTGGGCCTTCACCACCGGCTGGAACCTCATCCTCTCCTATGTGATAGGTATGCGGTGCCAAGAGAGCTGTTGGAGTGGCCCAGGCACAGTGGGGCAGGGTGTTGGTGGTGTGCGCCCATGGCATCCTAGCGAGTGTCACGGTGGTGGCAGAGGGACATGCCCAGGGCCGTGCTGGGGGACAGCACTGGGTGTTGCAAGGGCTCATTGGGTGCTCCTGGCACCGTGGGGTCGGTGCCGGGGGCGGCCTCGCGGGCCGGCGCCTCACCAGGGCTCTGGACTGACGGGCTGCTGTGCCAGGCACGGCCAGCGTGGCCCGTTCATGGAGCTCGTCCTTCGACAACATCATCGGCAACCACATCTCCACCTTCTTCGCGAACAAGACCACGCTGCACGTGCCGGGGGTGCTGGCCGAGCGCCCTGACTTCTTCGCCGTCATCCTCATCGGGCTGCTCACGGGTGAGCGGCAGGGGTGGGATTGCGGGGAGGGGGCATAGCCGGCGCTGCCCCGCTCACCCGCCCCGGCCCTCCAGCACTGCTGGCGTTCGGCGTCAGCGAGTCGGCCCTGGTGAACAAGATCTTCACGGCGGTCAACCTGATGGTGCTCGGCTTCGTCATCATCGCCGGCTTCGTGAAGGGCGACGTCAAGAACTGGCAGCTCACCGAGGAGGACTACGCCAACAGCTCGTGCTGCGGCGCCTCGGGGGACACCAGGTGAGCAGCGCGGATGTGCCGGGCCGGGGCCGGTCCCCTCGGGATGCCCTGTGGTGGTGATGGTGACCACGGGTTCTCCCTTCCAGGAAAGGGGCCTTCGGCTCAGGTGGCTTCCTCCCCTTTGGCCTGGAGGGGGTCCTCACGGGCGCTGCCACCTGCTTCTACGCCTTCGTGGGCTTCGACTGCATCGCCACGACGGGTAAGGGCGAGAGCGGCGCGGGCGGCGGGGCTGGCGCTCGTCCCGCCTCTTGCAGCCGCGCGGCAATCCTGCGAGGCGCCGCTCGGTGATTTCGCGGCCGCGGGCGATGTTTTCCTGAGGAGCTGCGTTCCTGCAGAGCTGCCTTTGTGCAGCGCGGCAGCTTCTTAATTTCCTGCCGGTTCCACAGGGATCTGCTTGGCAGGTCTCTGGTCCAAAGCGTTCGGCCCGAGGCCGTGTCTGTGCCGGGCGCTGCAGGGGCCGGGCTCCCTCCCATGCAGTGCCGAGCGCGCCAGGAGCTCGCCGGCGCCGCAGAGCTGCCGACCGGCAACGCGGGAGTCCCGCGGGGCTGCGAGCAGCGACGGCACCGTGCTCTCTTTGCAGGGGAGGAGGCCCGGAACCCGCAGCGCTCCATCCCCATCGGCATCATCGTGTCCCTCCTCATCTGCTTCGTGGCCTATTTCGGCGTCTCGGCCGCGCTCACCCTCATGGTGCCCTATTTCCTCCTCAACAAGGACAGCCCGCTGCCCGAGGCCTTCAAGGAGGTGGGCTGGGAGCCGGCGCGCTATGCCGTGGCCGTGGGCTCGCTCTGCGCGCTCTCCACCAGGTAGTGGGCCGGGGCCGCGCGGCGGGGACGGCGCTGCCGCCAGGGCGCCCGCCGAGCCCCCCGCTCCCCGCCGCAGCTTGCTGGGCTCCATGTTCCCCATGCCCCGCGTCATCTACGCCATGGCGGAGGATGGGCTGCTCTTCAAGTTCCTCGCCAGCATCAACAGCCGCACCAAGACGCCCCTTTCGGCCACCATCGCCTCGGGCGTCCTTGCCGGTAAGGCTCCTGGTGGGCGCCGCGCTGCCGGTCCTGGGGGAGCCGTGCTGAGGCTGTGTGCGCTCCTTGCAGCCGTCATGGCCTTCCTACTCAACCTGAAGGACCTGGTGGACCTCATGTCCATCGGCACGCTGCTCGCCTACTCGCTGGTGGCCGTGTGCGTGCTCATCCTGCGGTGAGTGGCACCGCGCCGCGCGCCGGGGCGCTCTGCCGGGCTGCCGGCACCGAGCTCAGCGCCGCCGGGTGCCTCTGCGCAGGTACCAGCCCGGGCAGCTGAGCTCGCCCAAGGCCATGGAGATGCTGGAGCTGAACGGGAATGAGGAGGAGAGGGCCGTCATGAACCCGGCCGGCGCGGGAAGCAAGCAGGAGGAGAAGCTGTCCCTGGGGATGCTCTTCAGGCCGCCCGCGGACACCCCCACGGCGCTCTCGGGGCGCATCGTCTATGCGTGCGTCTCGGCCCTGGGTGAGCGGGCCGGGGCAGAGCATCCTCGTGCCGTCCCGCTGCGCGCTCCGGCCTGCTGCATCCTTCCTGGAGAGCAGCTCCGGGCCCGGCGCGTTCCGGCGTGTCCGTGCGGAGCGGGAGGGACTGCGGGTGCGCGGGATGCTCAGGTGCCGACGGGATGCGGGCAGGAGGACGGGGGACAGGGACAGCGGGTGAATGCAGCGCATGCCCTGAGCATCTCCTCCCTTGCAGCTGTGCTGGTCACCGTCATCTGCGTGTTGGTGACGCTCAAGGTGGGCGCGCTGAAGGCTGCCAGCGCGGGCTGGCTCGTGGCCCTCGCGCTGCTGCTCGTCGCACTCTTCGTCCCCACCGTCATCATTTGGAGGCAGCCGCAGAGCAACACGCGGCTGAACTTCAAGGTGAGTGCAGCCCGTGGGTGCCAGCGAGTCCATCCCGAGGGCGCTCACCCTGAGTGTCCCGCGGGAGCCGTGCGGGGCCAGGAGCACCCCGGGGTGCAGAGCTGACGCGGCACCCCTTGTCCCTCGCAGGTCCCTTTCCTCCCGCTCCTGCCACTCTTCAGCATCTTCGTTAACGTGCTGCTCATGGTGCAGCTGAGCGCCCGCACCTGGATGCGCTTTGCCGTGTGGATGGCCGTGGGTAGGTGCCCCGCGTGGCTCCTGCTCTCCGCCACACTCCGAGCCTTGCAGGGCCGGCTTGGGGATGCTGCTGTCTGCTGCATTGTACCAACTGTCCCACAGGTTTCATGATTTACTTTGGCTACGGGATTCGGAACAGCGTGGAGGGGAAGAGCGCGAGGGAGCCCCAGGATGCGGGAGAAAAGCCCCTGCACCACCCCGGTTTGGAGCCGGGCCCCGGCGCTGCTGCCGTCTGAGCTGGCCCTGCTGGACCCTGTGCCCCCTGCCCGTATTCCTGCTCGGGGAGCGAGTCCTGGGGACAGGAGCCCTGTCCGGATGCTGTCCGGGCAGTGGGTCTCCACGGGGCCGTCTGCTCCAGGTATGCTCTGGGCCGGCCCCGCCATGAGGGGACAGCGACCCCGGCTCGTCCCACCGCTGCGCGACCTGCTCTCCAAGCCGCCGCTTCGCCCACCCGCGGGACGCCCCGTGCCATAGTGCAGCTCTATTTATTCTGTATGTCCGTGTGGCCGTGATGACCTCCGCGCGTCCCCCAAGTGCCGGGGTCCTGCTGTGCTCTGCGCCCTGGTCCTGCACCCCCTGTGCTGCCCCGACCCCGAGCTCGGCACCAGCAGCCGGCTCCGGAGTCCGTGCCAGCCTCGGCCGTGCTGCTGCCTCGGCGTCCGAGCTCGTGCGCCTCCGCAGAATCGGTGTTTTCATGTTGACTTTTGTACCTATTAAACTACATGTGTGGGGTTTTTGGAACGTTGTCTCTGGGGCTCCTGCCAGGGCTTGTTTCCCTGCCTCCGCGCCCGGGCGCCCGCGGCCACGGAGCCGGCACAGGGAGCGGCGCAGTCGGAGCGGGCGCGCTGGGACAGGGCCCTGCCACTGCTGGGAGCTGCTGCTGCTGCCCAGGTGCTACTGTGCTCCCCGGTGCCCCCCGCTGCAGCGAAGCCCTTGGTAAGACCCCTTGAGGGCTTCAGCAGAGGAAGCGCAGCCAGGAGCCGGGGCGCATCCGGAACCGGGAGATCATTTCCCAGCTTGTGCTCTGCTCTAAATCAGCCCTGAGAGCTGATTTTGCAAAATAAACTAATTTGGGGCAGATGGATCTGGGCTGCCTTGGCATCTCTCCGTGTTTCCTGGCAGCCGCCGTGGGTTACAGCACGGTCAGCAGCGCGGCCGGCCGCTCTGCGCACCCTCGGGGAGCTGCCACAAGCCCTGTCCCCACGGCGGCCACCCCACATGTGCACCCATGGGTGCACCCGCCCGGGCCTGCCCGACCCCCAGGCACCCGCAGGCGCCCTGGCCCGGCGTGCACCCACGGGTGCTGCCGCCTGCGCACGGCGCGGACGCTCCTTCCAGCCCCGGGGCGGCCTCGCTGCCTTTCATGGGCCCCTATTAACCTTTCTTTTCTTTTGCATAACTCAGCACATGGGAGCGGGGGTGAATAATGAGGCGCCGCAGCCCGGGCGCGTTGTAGGCGCCAGGGAGAAGCCGCTGCCGCGGGTTTAACTGCTGCCCTGCCGGGCGGCAGGCACCGGGGCTCTGTCCTGCAGAGAGACGTGGGGACGGGCGGGCCCTGGACCAAGCGGCCTTGGCTCTTGGGCGCCGGGGACGCCAGGGTGGGCTCGGGGAGCCAAAGTGTAAATCAGGCCCCGCAAAGAGGCTAATCTGATCTAACGGGACAGGCTTAATGTCCCCTGGCTCGGCCCCTGGGTCATTGTGCTCGTGCTTCCCTTGCTTCGCAGCCCTGTAGCTCTCTTCCTGCTCTCATCCCCAGTCCATTCCTGCCTGGAGCTGCCCATCCTGGAGCTGGTGACATGCCTGTGCCCCAGGGGAGGCCACCTTGGTCCCCCAGGAGTCCCCCTTGCAGGGCAGGGTGCAGAGCTGGACCTGTGGGAGAGCGGCCTGGACAGGAGCCTGTGGGGGCAGTAGTTTAGGGCACAGACGAGCAGGTCTCCATGAGGAACCACCTCCTGATGGACCTTCCCGCTCCTGTGGAGATCGCGTGTCTGAGCGATGCAGCCTTCCTGCTGCATTCACCGTGGCCAAGACTACGTGAAGGGGGCTGGAGGATCCAGGTGGGCTCCGAGCAGCAGTGCCCAGGGCTGGGAAAGCAGCGGAGCGGTGACGATGCCCTGCGTGCAGCGCAGGTGCCCAAGGGCTGGATGGGGATCTCAGTGGGAACAGCACGGACCGGAGCGTCACACATGAAGCTAACGGCGGCTCCAGTGGAGAAGGTGGTCGGGAAGAGGTTTCATTTCTCATGCTCTCACAATGACTGGTCGGGAAAGCTGCTGTAGAGCACAGGGGTCTGCGCTGTGTCCCAGCAAACCTCCCCACTGCTAAACTTTGCTCTGTCCTCCAGCACGGAGGAAGACGGTCTGCGGATCCAAAGGGATAAAAGCAGAAACACTCCCTGGACACAAAGTCCTGATCTCCTGGGAAGCCTGGAGGGTTCAAGCCCCCGCAGAAGTGCGGGAGCGAACGCAGCATCACGGTTGTCTACGAGAGGAGCTTGGCTGTCTGGCAGGCAGAAGGGCCTCTGCTCTCGGCTCCTGTCACCTCTCCAGGTCTCCTCTGCTCGGCAGGGACCAGGGGGCTTCTCTTCTTCCAACTCCTTTGTGCGGCAATGGCAGGGACCTGGAAGACAAGTGCTGCAGGCACAGCTGGTGCCCGACGCCGGTCCCATCCTGGGGGCCCTCGCGAGCTCGTCAACTTTCTCACCAGTTTTTGGTCTTGTTCGGGATTGTATCCTGGAGGGGAGGGACTTCAGCAGTTGTAGTATTTGAGTTGGATCCGTTTATGTACATATTTGGACAAAAGGCGACACAAATAAATCTCTTTGCAAAGGTCATGTGTGAAGGCGAATGCTGTGCAGCTCGCCAGCCCTGCTGTGGGACTTGCTGAAGTCTCTTTCCCTGTCCTGAAGAGAGTGGGACAGGGAGACCTCTGTGTAAAACTGAGATCTGAATCTCTTTCGCAGAGACAGCAACAGACTGATGCCTTCCCCAGTAATAAAACAGTCCAGGTGCCCATTCAGACTGAACAGGCTTCCATGCTTTCTGGTTTGCACGTAGGACAGAGATGCCCAGCAGGCCATGCAGGCTCTCCCAAGAGCAAGCTGATATATTCCCACTTACATATCCCCACTCCAGGGACTCTAATCCAGCAGTCTGATGGCAGATAACCCTCCCCAATTCTCCTCATGCTTTCCCTTTTCATGTTTTTCCAGGAAATTCTTGATCTGTAATTCACATCATCCACCAAGCAGCTCTCAACAGATGCTGGACAGATGACGGCTTTTGTTTCCCCCCTCCTAAGTCAACATCCTGCTCCCTCTTGCTGCATCCTAGGGACAGACAGGCTGTGTCACAGGCTTGTCAAGTCGTGTCATTTCTTAGGTATGCTGAAGGCTTAACAGGCAGCTCCCTCAAAACCTGTGACAGTTGGACACATGAGGCAACCTGACTTGCATAAACAAGCAGGTAGGAGACATTTGAAAAATAAAGTGCAGAGTCTCACTCCTTATCCCAGTTGTCAACTCAAAGGGTCCCTGGGTAACTTGAGTGTGGCATTAATTAAGAGCGTATGCCTGGCCTACACACAGATGTACCTAGGACAGACTGCATCATCTTCCATAAAACAGCGCAAGAGAAACTGTGACTATAGGTTATGGGGCCAGCTACTGTTATTTGCATAATAGAAACCCAATTTGCAGTCAGAATTTCACTTGTGCAATGGAACTGCCCCACCCGGGAGGTGCTTGGGACAGATCAGAAAGGTTCAGTTCCTCTCTGGTCCCTGGTTCAGACCCTAGGCACAAGCTAGGGTGTCAGCTGAGCCCTTTCCACTTCTCACAAAAGCAGAAGGCTCCTTACAAAACACAGCACAAGAGAGTTTCTGGTCTCTTCATCTCTTAAGTGCATCCTGGCCCTTTGCATTGCTTTCTTGGATTCTGGAATTAACTACAGAGAGAATTTAGAAAGATTTCCTGGTGTGAAACTTCAGGACTTGCCTTATTTCAAGCAACTGTATATTTTTTATATGGAACTTCCCTCTCATTTCACCAGCAGCTGTTGCAAAATATAATGGGAGAAGTGAAGGACAGCAGCAAGAGGGAGACTAAGGGAAAGACAGCAAGACTCGTTTGTGTTCCCTTTTGATGCTTCTATGTTCACAATTTTAAATGCATGCTCCCCTGCTCCTGTCATAGAGCTAAGGCTTTGATGCATGAACTGCAGCAGGTACAGGACTCACTGTTTATTTAAAAAATTGAAATAAAATTTAACAAAATCACGCCGAACAGTGAGGATCTGAAAAGCCAGGCAGCACTGGGGTCATCACAAACAGAAAGGCTCTGCAGGCCTGACCAAGCCACGGGCTAGATGTGCAGACAAGCACCTCCAAGTGGACAGTAAGACCGTATTACACTTCTCCCATCTAAACAGCAATACTGTTTTTTAACCAGATGGAGACTGTAAATCGGACATCTGAAACCCTGGTGCATCTCTTCAAGGTGCCCAGGCACCTGGAGGGCTCCCATGTGGGTCGGGATCTTCCCAGCAGTTCCATTCGTGAGCAACCATGGCTGCAGCCACAGCCTAGGGGAAGCCACGGGCTCGGCTGCAACGCGCAGAGCACGTCGTGACGCACAGTCGGTGTCACAGGCTGCACCTCTTCTCACCCAGGATCCTGCAGAGCTGTCCGTTTTTTCCCTTGTTGCCCTGTATCAGCACAGAACATCCTCTCTAGCCCAGAAGGAAGGGGGAATGAACACATGTATATCCACAGTCTAAGGAGAGTCACCTTTTGCTGGAACTTGTATCTCACTCCCTACCACAATCCAAAATGCAAGTGCAGCCCTCTGGAAGGGCTGAGCCCTCTACGAGCTAGGGCCCACGAGGCAATTAATAGATTGCAGGCTGATGATTTGCCTTCTGCATCTGAATGATCTTGCCAAAGCCGCCTCTTCCCATATCGTAGTCTGTCCGGTATTCGTCTCGCACCTGGGACATAGCAGTGACACATGTTAGGAGCCAGCAGTGACACATGTTTGTACCCTGCACTGTCTCCAGGGAGATTCTGGAATCAGCATCCCTTCCTTGATCCATTGGTGGGGAACTGGAATTTGGGCTACAAGCACTTTGTCTTGTTTTGAAATCTCTTCAAGGGATCTACCAACACAACTGCTGGTGGTAGTCAGGACAACAAATGAGACTGTAACAGATGGCTAAAGTCTTTTCAAGTAAAAAAAATAACAACCCCTCAAAATATTCTATTCCAATTTTGCGGCTAGTTTTCTGAATTACGAGATACATTTATCTTCCACGCTCCAGGAACCTGCAAAGGAACCTTACCTTCTCCCCAGGACATGCTGCAGGATTTTGGGGTTGGCATAGGAGCTATGTTGCGGCCTTCTCCCACCCACCCCCTTCAAACCCAGCATCATTTTACGAGCACCAGCTCAGGAATGAGGCTCATTCTGCCTGCACAGCCTGAAAAACTAGAGTGTCAGCCAGAAAATGCCTTAAGCTCTACTCCTAGCTCCGAACATCAGCAAAGCTCAGTTACCAAAACAACCTGGGAGCAGCTAAAATTCCTTATGGGGCTTTTATAGCCTGCACTGTACCTTAAATAAGGGAAAACTGGCAAAGCAGCAGGCACATTTAAGGAAAGTGGATTCAGGGACTGAACTAGCGATCTCTTTACCTGTCCTCCGGTCTTTCCTCTCCCATACTGTCGCCCTTCCTTAAATCCCGCGTCCCAGTCTGTTCGAATGATGCGGTCATCTAGCCGAGTGCCATTGATGAATCGCATGGCGTGTTCGGCATCTGCTCTCGTGTAGTATCTGAGGCCCAGGGTAAGGAAAGCTCAACTTGCTGGTTTACTGGCTGCAGGGAGAAATTAAAAAATAGAACTACTGTATTTAACAAGCAGAGGAATCCTGCCTAGCAGCCTAAACGTTCTTTTCTATAGGATCAAAAACTGCATTTATATAAATACAAGTTGAAAACAGCTCCAAATTCTTCCTGAAATGCTGCAATTTAATGTTAGTACCTGCACAGACAAGGAGCATTGGATTACTTATTTCAGAAGCAGATGAAAGAAAGGTGCTAAAACTTTGCTACAGGCAAGAAATTTATAATATATCTTCTTAGATTAGGTGAAACTGGACTGAATTTGAACAAGATCAGCGGGCCTCACAGGAGAGCTCTGCAAAGGCAGCTCCCAGTACAACTTGTACAAGCGTGTACCCTTGTTTGGGAACAGCGCCACGGATTGTTCCGCTAGTTTGTTCAGGTGTGAAGTTCAGGCAAGGAAACGAACATCTGCTCTTACTCTGGCCACACAAGAGGTCATAGCGGTGATTCCTTCCGGAGAAACTACTGGGTTAAAGAAGCTGATGAATGAAAGGTGCTCTCTGCCACCAAAAACACCTGGAAGTGACAGCACTTTCCACTCACAGTGTTGCAGTAAGACCTGTCTCTGAAAGATGGAAGGGGATAAAAAAAAAAAAACACAAAGAGGATGGAAGAAATGTGCCTGTCAGGGAGAATCCAAGTTTGGCTCCGTTTCAAGGGACAGGTCAATGCCGGCAGCAGCCAGGAGCTGGGAAGGATACTCGACGAAGCAGAAGCCGCAGGGAGTCTTCTTGATCTTGTCCAGCCCCATGACGATCCTCTTGACGTCGCCGCACTTGGAGAAGAGCTCCTGGATCTGCTCCTCGGTGGTGTAGAAGGACAGGTTGCCCACGTAGAGCGTGGAGGAAATCTTCAGCGACTTCTCCTGCAGCTGCCGGCTGCCCTGGGGGCAGAGCGCGGCCCAAAGCGGGGTGAGCGGCGCCCATACCCCCCCCCGGGGCACCGCGACCCCCTCCCGGTGCCGCCCCCAACTCCGTCACCTCAGGCCCCGCGCCCCTCCCCCCATCGCCTCAGGCGCCCCCGCGCGCGCCCCGGTGCCGCACCCGGAAGTGCTGGTCGCGGTACTGGCTGATCTCGCAGTAGGAGTCGCTGTTGAGGCCGCTCAGCGTGGTGTGGAGCAGCCCCGACATGTCGTCGCCGCCGCTGCCGCCCGGCAGGGCCCTGCTCCGGGGATCCTTCCAGAACCGGCGCGGCGCCCAACGGACACGGCGGGCAGGCAGGCCGCGCGCAGCCTCATTGGCCGAGACGCCTGCCACTCGAGGCTGGGAGGCGGGGCGTCCTAGGAGGGCAGCCAATCGTTAAGGCGCTGAGCCCCGCGCGGCGGCAACGGCGACGACAGCGGCGGCGGCGGCGCGGGACAGCGCGCATGCGCAGTGGCGGCTGCGTGGGCGGGAGGGAGCAGTGCGCACGCGCAGTGGCACCTGCGCAGGAGTGAAGGAAGGAGCCGTGCGCATGCGCGGTGGCGGCTGCGCGGGCGGGAAGGCGGGAGCGCTGCGCATGCGCAGTGGCGGCACCCCCTCAGGCGGTGATGATGGCGGGTGCAGTGTCAGGTAGCGCCCGCCTCTGCACACTGGTCCCGGTGCTGATGCCGGTCGCTGCCGCTCCACGCCCGCCTCTCCGCCTGTTTTGCAGGGCTGGTCCGCGAGCTGTTGAGCGAGGAGGCGCCGTCGCGCATCGCCGCCCTCACCGAGGAGCTCTACCGGGCGGCGGGCAGCGTGGCGGCGGCGGCGGCGGAGGGCAGCGCGGCTGAGGTAGCGCCGCCTCAGCGAGCGGCCGCGCCCTCGTCCCGGAAAGTCCCCAGCTCAGTGGCTGGCGTCACGGCGGGGAGCCCGGGGGTGTCCCCGGCGGGGAGCGGCCGCCCTCGGCTCCGTGTCCTCACGGCGCCTCGGCGCCATCGCGTAGAAACCCGCCCTCGCTTCCGTGGGGGCGTAAAAACACCAGCGAGGAGGCAGGAAAACATCAGCGAGGCGCCTGAAACGTCAGCGAGGGCTAAAACCGAGCCTGGCCCGGCTGGTGGGCAGCTTTGGTGCTGCTGGCAAGTACCTGAGCAGCAAAAACCCTGCCTCCTGCACCCAGTGCCAGGCATTTTGGATGAGCTTATTTTCACACATTTGAGTCATTTTTAGAATGCTTTTATTAGTTTTTTTTTTAATTCTCGGTATAGGCTTTGTGCAGGAGTACTTGGAAATAAAATAAGTAAACTCGTGTTTTAAGAGGAAACCGCTACTTTGACAGAAGCTTTTTCCAAAGGAATTATGCTGAGAAATGCATTAATCTGAAATATAAACAAGAATAACAGATTTTGCCCAACTTTTTCATCAAAATTGTGTAGTGATTATTCTATAAGGTGGATAGTGGTTTTTAATGTTTTGAATCTGTGACAAGGAGCGAGGTAGGCTGGCAATGGTCACAGCAGAAAATATTTTCCATGTTGTCTGTAAGGAAGTATATTTGCATAAAAACGGTATCCATCAGTTCTTCCTGTTGAGCTAAATTATTTTAACAGAAAGGAGAAACCGTTTTGTAATTTGCTCTCTTCCTGTAAAAGGATTGTCAAATTGTACCGTGTGATTTTTGTGCAAAGCCCAAAGTTCCTTGTTAAGCAAGGTCATTTTTTTAGAGAAACATTTGATTTCGATTTTGTGATTTGAAGTGATGGAAAATATTGATTTGAGGTTGTTCAGGGAACTTACTGGCTTCTTGTAAGACTCCCATCATCTTTATAACTTTTCCATGTAGGTATTTAACAGCAACTAAACTACTTAATTTTCTTTTTGATATGCAAAAGGGTTCCTATTAAATGTTTGCAAACCTACAATTCTTAAAGCTCTTTTCTGATCTCTTGATTTTCAACATCTGCTTAAAGTGTAAATACTTTGCTCTTAAAGCTACCGGGGAATCAGCTGTGTCTTGCACAGTGATAGCACATTTTTTGTATATGTGTTGGTGAGAAAACTTAATTCCAGATGTAGAGGATAAGTTAGATCATATTTTAATAAGATTGGAAAAGGATTTGATTGAAATCTGTGTTAGGACATTTGAGTAACATGTTGAATAAGCAGATTTTTTTCCGGGAGGTATTTTAACGATGACAAAGAAAGAACTCTGGTTGTTTCTGAAGTCCATCACTTCCCTTACAGAATTCCTTGTGCACAATTTCACATTAGAGCTGGAGGCAGTGATGGATGATGTGACATGTACATGGGTACGGCTATCTGTCTTGTGATTAATAGTTTGTGCCAGGTCATGTCTGCCTTTTGTTAACAATCATCTTTCTTACTTAGTTCATCTTAGAAATGCTTTTAAATAGTTAGGTGTGAAATAGCCCTTTCCAAGACTAAAAAGTGTATCTTCTGCCATTTGCTTATGAAAAGAACATGTGATTCCTGCCCATCACTTCCAAGTTTTCTGAAATGCTTGATCCCTTGAGTTTTAGAGCAAGAGAATCCCTGGGGCGTATTCAGCAAGCCTGTTTTTAGGTTACCAGATCTCTTTGTGGAGACGGTCAGATCATGTCAGAGTTTCAAGACAATCTTGCACTTCTGAATCCACTGTTACACAAGGAAGCTACACAGACACGTGCACTGGCTGTTACCATATGCATTAAAGATGGTGGTTCTTCCGTTTGTTCATTTCGGTGTGATCCAGATGGAGGTGAAATTAAATCTAATGGAATTCTCCCTCTCAGGTCGAGGAGAGCGCAATAAACCTGTGGAACTGGGCAGTCACCAAGCACTCAGGTTCTGTCATCAGCGATGAGCAAAGGGCTAAATGTATGTATGTGTTCCGTGTCTTCCTAAAGGGTTTTGTGTGCTGAGGTGTGAAGAGGAAAAACTCTGCTGACAGATACATGGATAATATTGTAGATTTATTTGGATTTTGTCAGATGAGGTATAGATAGGCAAACCGTATGGGTAGACTTACATAAAACAGCTCAGAAAGGCTCAAGCTGGTGTAATAATCATCTCATGACAGAAGCAGAGCAGGAACGCTTATCACTCCCCATTTTTGTGCCAAAACATAATAAAAACATGACCAAAGGAAGGTGTAATTTGCTTTCCAGTGCATTTTTTTAAATCTGAAATTTTATGGAAATGATACTGATGTAAATTTTAGATTGTAAGTCACTTAATTGATACAGAGCGAGGCAGTTATTTTAAAGAAGCAATCTCATCAATAATTACACACAGAAAACTTTAAAATTCTCTTTTCCTGCTTTGCTTTAGCCCAGCACACAGCTAATATCTTTGCCTAGAACGAGGAGAGCCTGGGGAAAAGTGGAAATGAGCTTTTCATCTTTTTCCTCATCCTGTTCTTTAGATAGATCTGCAGGATAAAATATTTGGCCTACATTTTTGTCTTGAGGGGTTGTTGAAATTATATATAATCTACAGGGGAAAAAATGATGTCAGGTAAAGGGAAAAGGATAAGTTTACACAAAATAAGTAATAATTGTTGTATAGTGTAGTGTTCTCAGATCTTATATCACAGCTGAAGGGCCAGGGAGAGGCTATTTTAAATATATTAAATGGTGCTTTTTCTATCGCTGATGTGTAATGAAGGCCTGAAAATACTTCTGCCTTTTACTTTAAAAATGTGAGGGTTATTAATCTTGATTTCCTTATTTTGCTGAAGGCTGTTTTGAGGCTCTCAAGATATGTTACTGTCAGCACCTGCAATGCAATTAAGTCTTTGAATACTGTCTTCCACTTAACTTTCTCTCCAGAGATTATTAGGCATTTTGAAGAGATTTTTTTTTTCCCCCTTGGATGCTTAAGGAAGAGTTTAAGCAGCTTGGCTAAAACCCACTAACTGCTTTGACTCCTGAAGCTTTCGATTATTTTAGCTTTTGTGATTTCTAAACAGCAAATGGTCTTTCGGATAGGTAGGGCTTGACATTCTTAAAAATAAGCCAAACTATAGAGTAATGGGAGCTTACAAATGTCTGCACTGTTCTCCTGCAGTGAGATTTGTTGCATGTAGACTGGTGTGCCTGTGTGAAGGCACTGATCCTCCAGAAGGAACTATTCGAAGACAAATTTTGGTAAGAGCAATAGTGACAGGTGAGCAGGGGAAATAAAGGATTATCAAGGGAAATCTTCAAAGTCTGTTAAAATTGTTTAGGCAGATGAGGGAAATAGGTCTATAATTCAGGGGGGATCCCTACTGAAGGTGGGCCCACGCTATCAAAGGTGCTAAGCTAGTGCAATGATGTATTTGCCAATAATGCATTGTAACATGGTGTAATAAAATATTACAACAGCATCATATTCATCTATTTCAGTATCATAATCATATTGAAGGAAATTTTAAGTCCTACATGCTGCATCTGAATGCACAGGCCTTCATTCAAATGTGAAGGGCACATGGCACAAGCTGGAGAGCTGAAATACTCCCCTCCTGCATTGCGTTTGTCCCTCAACAACGTGAGATCTGATGCTACCCTTCTTTGACAAGTTACCAACTTGTCACAAAATACGTACCATTTTCTCCTCCAGATGTCTATGAAAACTGGGAAAGGATGGATAGATATAGGAAAAGCTGAACTTGCGGATGGATTTCTAGAGATTGCCATGGGAGTAAGTTATTTTCTGGTTTCAGTTTCTTAAACACACACCTATTTGTAAGTTCCATGAGTGATGCTTGGTCTTTGTTTTCCAGAGTATAGAAAAACTGTATGCAAAGTTGCTTAAGAGGAGTAATGATGAGGCAGATATTCATGTGCACAAAGCTGATGTGGAGAAGGACCTCTTCAAAGTGCTCTCTTATCAGGCTGAATCAGTAAGATTTTTTTCTCAACTTTCTTTATAAGTCATAAGGAGCATAGGGGGGAACTCTGACCCAGTAATTAGACCTATGAATGCTTGGCGTTGAAGACTTGCTGAAGGATATATCTTCTTAACTTAGATGTAAGATCTCAGATCTGATGTTTGCATTCTGTGTTGCAATAATTTAATAATTTTTAATTTGCCTAATTCATCGCAGTCATTTCTGCTGTGTTATTCCTATCTTCTAGTTGAGATTTGTTGCCCTGTCGTTTGACTAGCATGGGTGTTTATGAAACAAACAGCTGCCTTTCTGAATCATAAACATGTCAGTTCCAAAGGTGGTCTGTGCTTGACTGAAGAAGGAGCGATAGATTAGATTTAGAGCAAGGGTCCCCCTATATGTGCAGTAGGGTAACATATACGTAGCAAGAATGGTCT